AGTCATTTTCTCATAGACTTCTATACAACCAGAGGAGTCGCCCCCTGTATACATATATATATATATATATATATATATATATATATGTGGGCGATTGTGGCTAAGTGGATAGCAGGGCCGTCTTTCAATCAGAGGGTCGGTGGTTTGAACCCTGGCTCCGGCTCCGCTAGTTGCATGTCGATGTGTCCTTGAGCAAGACACTTAACCCCAAAATTGCTCCTGTAGTTGTGCCTACGGTGTAGGAATGTGATAGACTCTGAATTGTAAGTCGCTTTGGATAAAAGCGTCTGCTAAATGACTGTAATATATATGTGGATATTTTTTATATATGCAACTGCAAAGAATGTCACTTTGTATGTTTTGTATTACTATATTTTATTACTTTATTTCATTACTTTATTTTTGTACTTTATTTTCTTACTCTATATTTTTACTTTATTTTTTAGGAGTGTTTCCTGTTCTGATGTGAGGGTCACAGGTCAGAGTGATTTGTGATATTAAGGGTACTTCTCAAGTCTCTTAATTGTCGTTTCCTCGCTCCTCGCTCCTCGATCCTCGCTTGAACCGGAAGTTGTTTCTGCGCCGCCATATTGACGGCCGTCCCAAAGCTCTAAAGTAGCTCTGAGGATGGAGGATGGAGGAGGGAGGAGGAACCTCTGAGGAGCCATGAGCGAGGAACCACGAGAACAGACTTCCAGGAAGTGTTTTAACGGCCGACACGCCCCCTCATTGTTCATCAGTTATGTGATTGGACGCTGCAGCTGATCGGACTGACTGACTGGAGTTTAACACCAGAGTGAAGACAGATCACAGAATGAACTCTAGTTTATATTAGGTTTCTGATTCACCATCTGGTTTAAATAAATGTTCATTGTAGTCTGAACAACAAAAGGACCACAAACAACTTTCTGCATTTATTAGAAAGATTTGTGTTTTCATGATCTGATGTTTCCCTCAATAACTTTATTATGAATGTCATCAGAAACAGATGTCGCTTCACGTGACGCAACTGAGAAAAGGACGTCTCATGTATTTTAAAACATATTTCCTCGTTCCTCTCTCCTTGCATGGTTTCCTCCATGCATCCCTGGTGGGAGGGACTAAGACGCAAGGAAAGGGCGCAAGGATACGAGGATGCAATTAAGAGACTTGAGAAGTACCCTAAACTGTTGGATTCCTCGACCGACCGATTTTTTTCAGTTCGATGACGTCATTACATCTCTGTTTCCCGCCAGGCTCGGCTCAAACAGAGACGTGATGACGTAGAGGGTGTACGTGAGCTGTTCCCGATGCAGTCAGAGGTGAGTGTCCCGGTGCTATTGGGCCTTTTCATACTCAGGTCACTGGGTTTAAGTTAGTGAACATCCGGGACACAGCTGCGGTCCTCCGGGGGCTGTCAGCGGCTGGGAGTGGAGTCTATGGGGTCTCTATCAGGAGGAGGACGGCTAGTTAGCGGTTAGCTGTTAGCAGCTCTCTGTTATGTTTACAGAGCTAACAGCTAACGGAGCTAACAGCTAACGGAGCTAAACTCGCAGCAGAACTGTTCTATGAACGTCACCTGTAGTTTAATAATACACCTAATAAAGTACTTTTACTTCGTCTGAGTACAGCTTGGAGTTAGAAGTGGTTTTACTTCAGTAGTTGTACTTTTACTTCAGTTGTTGTACTGATACTTCAGTTGTTGTACTGATACTTCAGTTGTTGTACTTTTACTTCAGTTGTTGTACTTTTACTTCAGTTGTTGTACTTATACTTCAGTAGTTGTACTTTTACTTCAGTAGTTGTAGTTGTACTTTTAACAAGTGCTTCAAAAGTAATTTCTTCAAATCACTTCTGAAACTTGCTGTCTATAATACAGTATACTGTGTATAATACCACAGTATACTGTGCAGCGTCGGAAATACACGAGGGCAAAGGGCAAAACTGCCCCTAAGAAATATAATGTTGCCCCTGATATCACTAGGAGAGGGGCAAAAAATGCCCCCATAATTTCCTCTAATAATAGTGATAATTTAATGAACTTGTCAAAAACATCGTAGCCTATATGACCCGGTCCAGTTGCCATAGAATGGTTTTGATTTTCGCCTTGACTGATGTTGCGTGTGCGTGAAGAACCGAACGTTCTAAACGAATAAATAAATGGAGCGCTTCTTCATCAGACCTGAGACTGCGAGACTGCGGTCAACTCAGCAGACACTTACATGTTAGTGCTCCTATATGCTGACATTCACGGTACACTCATTCAAACGGCACAGGTCGGGAGCGAGCGAAGGACTTTGAAAGTTAGCGGAAAGATTAACGTGAGACAACATCCGGTTTCTTCAGACGAACATCCGGTTTTCAGAATAAGATGCCAACAAAGTATACATATTGCATAATGGAAATTAGATTAAATGAATTATATTCACATTAAGTATAAAACATGCTACCTGCATCTCGTGAGTTAAAGGGAAAATACACCTAAATTGTGCGTAAAGTGTCTTTATTCTTTGATTTGAGGGTTGCTGGAAATGAATAACACCTGACTGAGAAGATATTTTACTGAGCAAAAACTCTGAACTGAATTTGTACCTTCAAATGGCACATTTTTTTAATTTTTAAGGTGCTATAAAAATGTTTTTCTCAAAAATTCCACACAATGACTGATGTATATGTAATCAAGGCATCGTTGACTTAATAATTGTTAATAGTTAAAAAAATTGAATAATAACTATAAATAACCACAAAGAAATAAGAATAAATTTGAATATGATTGTCTGATTTGTTTGTTTTTTTTGTTCAAAAAATCGAAGAAAACACTTTGAATCTGTAGACTACTGCCTAATAGTCTTATTATTGCCATTTGACGACAATTGCTCATATACTGTAAGCCTAAATAAGTATATTTATTATTTTGAACAAAGGTTAAATGTTATTTCACAAGTTTCAAAAAGTGCCCCAATTTTTTTTTTAAATGCCCCTGGATTTCAGTCAGTGGGGGCAAAAATTGCCCCCTAAAAATATGTAAATTTCCTACCCTGGTACTGTGGTATTATAGATGGTGTACTGTGGTATTATAGACGGTGTACTGTGGTATTATATAGACGGTGTACTGTGGTATTATAGACGGTGTACTGTGGTATTATACAAAGTATACTGCTGTATTATAGTCAGTATACTGTGTGTAATACCGCATATTGATATTATCATTAGTGCGTCAGTTGTTGTATTCAAACTGTTCTAATCTGATAGAGTAGTGATTAGCGATTATTGGAGGACATTACAGTGGATTCCTGCTACTCACATCTTCATCATCTTCATCATGAGACTGACTCCAGTGAGTTTTCAGTTGACTGGTTTTAACCCTTGATGGGCTCAGAGGGGGTTCCCTGACGTTAACCCTTCGGTGTTCCATGTGAGCATCAGTGGGCGAGTGAAGAGAAGGTGTTCATCTGAGATGAGTGTCTGGAATCCCCCCCGTGGTCTGAAGGTGGAATGATGGATCTCACATGTAGCAGAGTCAGACTGAACGTAGGCGGCTCCATTCCACCTCAACCGTTAGTCTGTCTTTAGTCTGTCTTTAGTCTGTCTTTAGTCTGTCCTCAGTCCGTCCTCAGTCCGTCCTCAGTCCGTGCCTTTCTTCATTCATCATTTGTTCACTTTTAGTGAGATTATTTGAACATTTTAATATCATATTGACTACTTTGACTTTGAGTTGTTATTTACTTGAGGATGAAATGTGATCATTATATCTATATCAACTCGAAACTAATGAAGCTGATGTGAAATGATGAAGTCTCTCCATCCACTGGTTCCCAACCTGTGGTCCAGGACCTCCTGAGGGGTCACATGGTGATCAGAGAGGGTCCTCTGGAGAAACATGCTGAGACCTCGTTTCCTCATTGGTCCGCTCGGAACACAATGGGAGACATTGTGCTTGTGTTTCCAATCACTTTCTCTTTGTGCCTCATGGTCACATGGTCACAGCTCATCTCCTCGCTCTGATGGGAGCTCCAGATATCGACCGTCTGTGGGGAGTCTAAGTGCTGCAGCGCATTAGCTCCATTGTGGCCGTCGTAATGGCCGAGGACTGTGAATCAGTGGGAGGACGAGGAGACGTCCACTTCCTCCTCCTCATAATGGACTCCTCTATCTGCTCATTCACTGTGGTCTGGAGATGCAGAGTTAACTTTCTGCAACAATAGTTTTCCATTTGTGTAAACGTCGAGAGGATCAGCTCCTCTTCTTTTTCTTCCTCCATCTAAACACGAGAATAAACATATGTGTTCACGTTATCTGGGGACCCCCAAGGGGTCCTGCCCCTCAGGTTGAGAACCACTGGTTCACGTGTTTACTTGTGTCAGCACTTTTCTATAGAACACAATGAGTTTCTGCTTCTCTGACACTTTTCCTGATGAACTTTATTATTGGACTATAAAGTAGATTCATTTTCTGTTGTCTGATTAATCCAAAGATGAACAAAAAGAAACTGTATGAACAGCTCAATATTTCTGCTTCAGGATAATGTTAAAGTTTATGTGACATTAACGTCATTCAGACTATTATTATTGTTATTGTTATTATTGTTATTATCTTATTATTATTATTATTATCTTATTATTATTGTCATTGTTGTTGTATTGTTATTATTATTAATGTGTTATTGTTATTGTTGTGTTATTATTGTTATCTTCATTCTCATGTTTAATAGAAAGCTTAAATCCTCTGAGGTCACTTTAAAATGCTTCCTGTCACATGATGGATGTTGGTGTAACGGCTTTAATAATAAACAGGATTATTATTATTATTTAAGAGGCTGATGGTTTGACTTCAACAGCTGTTTTTTAAGGTACTGGATGTATTTTTAGACTGTTTTCAGAAACTTCACCTTTGAGCTAATTAAAGCTTTTAATTCATCAGTTTATTATAATAAATATTTAGATATATTACATTCTCCCCACATGTTGAACTAAAGTTGTTCTGAGGATTAATAAAGTTCTGATATTTAAAACCTTTGAGCCGTCTTTATATTTAGAAATGAACTCATTCAAGTTATTAAATACACAAACTGCTCAGAGGAGACGTGATGTTTGACTGTTTCTGTGACACAACAGGATGTGTTCTCATCTCTTAAAGACTTACTGCTGCAGCTAAACTTTAAACTTATAGATCGTTTATGCCTAAAAAACAATCCGTTAATGATGAAAACAATACATTTATAATTGATTATAAGAAGTTATTTTATATTTATTAGAATCCACGCTTACAAAGAAAAACTGAATAAATCCAAAGTGAATGTTGATTCCAGCCGATCAATGTGATCAACACGTGTCTCTCTCTGTCAGAGCTCTCAGGGTCCCAGCGTTCTGCTGGTGGAACCGTTCTACGGAGGTTCTCACAAACAGCTGATCGACCTGCTGCAGCAGAACATCACCGGCTGCTCCGTCTTCACACTCCCTGCCAAGAAATGGCACTGGAGGGCGAGGGCAGCGGCGCTGCACTTCAGCCAGACCGTCCCCACCTGTCCCTCATACAGGTGAGTCTCTCACAGGTGACAGATGATGTAGTTAATGGTACATCATCATCAGGGGTCGGGACTACAGGACCACCACAGGGGAAGACCTGGTCCTGGTGGTCCATATCATCTGAACACTTCAGCTGAGGAAGACCTTTTTCTCAAAGCTTGTGTTGTTTCTTTGTGAATTCAGTCAGAGTTGACTTCAGTTTGTTTGTAGTTCCTGTTTGGGTGGAACTTGGGTGTAGTATGTCGGACCAACAAGTCCCAAGTAAGTCCAGACCGACAAGTGGCCGTGGCCACCAAAGCATTTTATACCAGCTGAAACATCCCAGTTGCTCATCCAAAGTGCTTTGGTTGCATTGAGGTTCTACGATATTGAACTCACAGAAGGTCTTAACAGAGGAGCCTACTTGCTCTGAGAGGGTTCATTTCTCCATAGATGTTGATGTTCAGTACTTGTACGGGGCGGTGCCTCGTTGTGTTTTTTGTCCTACATAAGTGTATATACAGTATATCTTTAACCACAAATCCTGCTTCCTGATTCAGGACTCTCGTCCATTAACATCTTATTTCTGTGTGGTTTACTGCTCAGAGTCCTGTTCAGCAGCTCAGTCCTGAACCTGTGTGAGCTGGTGGCCCTCAGACCAGATCTGGCTCGTCTAAAGAAGGTTCTGTACTTCCATGAGAACCAGCTGGTGTATCCGGTCCGCAAAGACCAGGAGAGAGACTTCCAGTACGGATACAACCAGGTCCTCTCATGGTAAACATTAATACTTTACAACGATGTATGTTAGTGGGGTCATGGTGTGAACAGCTGCCTGACATCTATCCATCATCCACTCATCCATTATCCATCCATCTACTCATCCATCCATCCATTCTACCACTCATCCATCCACCCATCCATCCTCCATCCATCCACTCATCCATCCATCCATTCTACCATACATCATCCATCCACCCATTTCATTACATTACATTACAGTCATCTAAGAGCATAAACCAGCGCAGACGTACAGAAACAAACTAGTATGAATACAATAAGTGGTGAGTGGAAGGCTAAGGGTAGTACTTCTTGAAGAGGTGAGTCTTCAGCCTGACGAAAGATGGGCAGCGACTCCGCTGTCCTTACGTCAGTGGGGAGTTCATTCCACCACTGTGGGGCCAGGACAGAAAACAGCCGCGACCGGGTCGATCGGCCGCAGGGACCTCTGAGCGACGGGGCAACCGATCGCCCCAAGGCAGCAGAGCGAAGTGGTCGGGCGGGGGTGTAGGGCTTGACCGTGGCCTGGAGATAGGAAGGAGCTGTTCCTTTCACTGCCCTGTAGACTAGCACCAGAGTCTTAAAGTGAATGAGAGCTCTTACAGGGAGCCAGTGTAGAGAACGGAGAAGGGAAGTTGTGTGGGAGAACTTGGGGCGATTGAACACCAGGCGAGCTGCAGCTTTCTGGACAAGCTCCAGAGGTCTGATGGCCGACGCCGGGGCTCCGGCAAGTAGTGAGTTGCAGTAGTCCAGGCGGGAGATGACAAGAGACTGGATAAGCACCTGCAACGTCTCGTCAGTGAGGAAGGGGCGAATCCTCCTGATGTTGTAGAGCAAGAATCTGCAGGAGCGTGTAACCGATGCAATGTTTGCTGAGAACGACAGTTGGTCGTCCAGGGTCACACCCAGGTTCCTCGCAGTCCGAGTTGGCGTCACCACGGTATCATCAATGGTGATGGACAGGTCGCGGTGAGGGCAACCCTTCCCCGGGAGGAACAGTAGCTCGGTTTTGTCCAGGTTGAGCTTCAGGTGGTGTGTCGTCATCCACTTCGAGATGTCAGCCAAGCATGCAGCGATGCGTGCCTCCACTTGAGTGTCACCGGAGGGAAATGACAAGACCAGCTGTGTGTCATCGGCATAACAATGGTAAGAGAAGTCATGTGAGCAAATAACAGAACCCAGAGATGTTGTGTAGACCTGGTAGGATCGACCTGTCAGGTAGGATGCAAACATCCATCCTTCCATCCATCATCTACCCACCCAACTATCCATCCATCATCCACCCACCCACCCATCAACTATCCAACCACCCATCCATCATCATCCATCCATCAGCCATCCATCAATCCACTCATCCACCCATCACCCATCAATCCATCCATCCACTCATCCATCCATCCACTCATCATCCATCCATCCACTCATCACCCATCAATCCATCCATCAATCCACTCATCCACCCATCACCCATCCACCCATCAATCCATCCATCCATCCACTCATCATCCATCCATCCACTCATCACCCATCCATCCATCCATCCACTCATCATCCATCCAGCCATCCACTCATCATCCATCCATCCACTCATCACGCATCACCCATCAATCCATCCATTCATCCACTCATAATCCATCCACCCATCCATCCTCCTTGACTGTATTAAACTCAGCAGATATAAACTAAATACAGAGATGAGCCGTTACACCGAATAAAGAAATCTTTCTTGTGTTTAATGTTAAATGTTCCACACATTAAAGGTTAAAAGTCATAATATGATCTTCTGTGATGTTACTGCTGCTGGAGGTTTATTACTGATTCATAAGTACACATAAGTAGTATAATAAATGAGATGTTTGTTTGTTCTTCTCAGCTGTTTGTCTTAATGAGCATGTCAGACTGCACATGATTGGTTAACGAGCTGCTCTGATGCTGTGGGTCTAGTTGTCATTAATCAGACGTCTAACAGTAAAGAGCAGAAGACTGATTGTTGTTGATCTACAGGCCAGCATATCAATAAGTCACAATCCTCTAATGTCGTTACTGCAGCATGAAAAACAGTTGGTCATTAAGAGACTGTGATTGGATCGAACCACAATCACTCATTTCATTATGAGACTCAAATCAGCCTCTGAAGCTCAGTGTATCAGTGTTTTATATCAAAACTACAGAGGTTCACTCAGTGAAGAGCAGATCTCCTCTAGGACTGGCTCAGGTTTATAGTTGGGGCTGGCTCAGGTTTATAGTTGGGGCTGGCTCAGGTTTATAGTTGGGGCTGGCTCAGGTTTACACTTATATTATTATTATTATTATTATTGTTATTTTATTGGTGGTATTATTGTTATTTTATTGTTATTATTGTTATTGTTATTTTATTGGTGGTATTATTGTTATTGTTGTTTTATTGGTGGTATTGTTATTGTTGTTTTATTGGTGTTGTTATTGTTCTTATTATTTGTCACGTTTCTTCCACTATCAGCCACCTTGTTGTCCCTGAAGTCGTGTTCCTGTGTTTGCAGCCTGGTGTCAGACGTCGTGGTGTTTAACTCCGTCTTCAACATGGACTCCTTCCTGTCCTCCATCTCCTCCTTGATGAAGAAGATCCCAGACCACCGACCCAAAGACCTGGACCTGCTGATCAGGCCCAAGTGTGTGGTCCTCTACTACCCAATCCAGTTCCCTGATGTCAGGTTAGTGAGATCACAGATTGTTGTTATGAAGATGAACAATATATGATCAATATCAGCTGTAAGATCTCACCTGAGGTCTGTTTTCTATCAGAAGAAGTCTGAAACAAACATGTTACATGAAATATATGTATGTATGTATGTATGTGTGTGTGTGTGTGTGTGTGGACATATATGTATGTATGGATATATGTATGTATATGTATATATATGTATATATATGTGTATATATGTATATACAGTTGTGTGAAAAAGTGTTTGCCCCCTTCCTGATTTCTTATTTTTTTGCATGTTTGCCACACTTAAATGTTTCAGATCATCAAACAAATTTAAATATTAGACAAAGATAACACAAGTAAACACAAAATGCAGTTTTTAAATGAAGGTTTTTATTATTAAGGGTGAAAAAAAATCCAAACCTACATGGCCCTGTGTGAAAAGTGATTGATCCCCCTGTTAAAACATAAATTAACTGTGGTTTATCACATCTTTGGAAAGCTGAGTTCAATTTCTCTAGCCACACCCAGGCCTGATTACTGCCACACCTGTTCTCAATCAAGAAATCACTTAAATAGGACCTGCCTGACAAAGTGAGGTAGACCAAAAGATCCTCAAAAGCTAGACATCATGCTGCGATCCAAAGAAATTCAGGAACAAATGAGAAACAAAGTAATTGAGATCTATCAGTCTGGAAAAGGTTACAAAGCCATTTCTAAAGCTTTGGGACTCCAGCGAACCACGGTGAGAGCCATTATCCACAAATGGCGAAAACATGGAACAGTGGTGAACCTTCCCAGGAGTGGCCGGCCGACCAAAATTACCCCAAGAGCGCAGCGACGACTCATCCAAGAGGTCACAAAAGACCCCAGAACAACATCCAAAGAACTGCAGGCCTCACTTGCCTCAATTAAGGTCAGTGTTCATGACTCCACCATAAGAAAGAGACTGGGCAAAAATGGCCTGCATGGCAGAGTTCCAAGACGAAAACCACTGCTGAGCAAAAAGAACATAAAGGCTCGTCTCAATTTTGCCAGAAAACATCTTGATGATCCCCAAGACTTTTGGGAAAATACTCTGTGGACTGACGAGACAAAAGTTGAACTTTTTGGAAGGTGTATGTCCCATTACATCTGGCGTAAAAGTAACACGGCATTTCAGAAAAGGAACATCGTACCAACAGTAAAATGTGGTGGTAGTGTGATGGTCTGGGGCTGTTTTGCTGCTTCAGGACCTGGAAGACTTGCTGTGATAAATGGAACCATGAATTCTGCTGTCTACCAAAAAATTCTGAAGGAGAATGTCCGGCCATCTCTTCGTGACCTCAAGCTGAAGCGCACTTGGGTTCTGCAGCAGGGCAATGATCCAAAACACACCAGCAAGTCCACCTCTGAATGGCTTAAGAAAAACAAAATGAAGACTTTGGAGTGGCCTAGTCAAAGTCCCGACCTGAATCCGATTGAAATGCTGTGGCATGACCTTAAAAAGGCGGTTCATGCTCGAAAACCCTCCAATGTGGCTGAATTACAACAATTCTGCAAAGATGAGTGGGCCAAAATTCCTCTACAGCGCTGTAAAAGACTCATTGCCAGTTATCGCAAACGCTTGATTGCAGTTGTTGCTGCTAAGGGTGGCCCAACCAGTTATTAGGTTTAGGGGGCAATCACTTTTTCACACAGGGCCATGTAGGTTTGGATTTTTCCCCCCCCCTTAATAATAAAAACACTTAATTTAAAAACTGCATTTTGTGTTTACTTGTGTTATCTTTGTCTAATATTTAAATTTGTTTGATGATCTGAAACATTTAAGTGTGACAAACATGCAAAAAATAAGAAATCAGGAAGGGTGCAAACACTTTTTCACACAACTGTATGTTCACTTGTTATGTAGTAACGTTATAATGTTAACATTGTCCCTGATAATTATGAATTATAATAATGATAAATATATTATAAAGTTTTGATTCTTTGTAAATATATAAATCAATTAATTTGCTCTCAGTCCTCCAGTGAAACATGCTCAGCCTGCAGTCGACCACTGGCTTTAACAAGAGAAGAAGAGATGCTTAGGCGGGTCTCCAGGTGTGTGTGTGTGTGTGTGTGTGTGTGTGTGTTTGATTAGAAGCAGACGTCACACACATCAGACTGAAATAGAAGCTCAACATCGTGGTTCATTCCTGACTCATACTGCCATCGTCCTGCTTTAGACCTGCATTCACACCCTGAACACATACACACACACACACATACACACACACACACACACACACACACACACACAC